TATTGCTTTTCTCTATGAGCCAAACTTTTTTTATTTTCATTTTAGATTACCGCATTACCTTTTTTGCAGTCACTGCAAATGTTACATTTGCAGAAATTTGATACAGAACCACATATATACAATATTTTAATGACATTTTAGTCATACTGTGATCTAAATTTACTCTGATATAATTCTGTGGAAGCAAACCCCAAAATTTTCTGCTTATCAAGTGCAGGATGATATTTGACTAATGCAAACATTTTGTTTTTTTCATGTTAACCTGTTTTATGCTTACAGGTTCTTAATAATGAATGTTCTGGAGTTTGTGATAGTGTCACATTATGGAATGAAATTCACCCTTTCAAAACAAACAGTCCAAAATGGTTTTGGTCTTCTTTTTGGACTCTTTTTTTTTTTTTTTTTGTCTCTATTCAAATAAAAATATAGGGCGTGATTCAAAGTCCACAGAACATGTTAGGCTTCTTTCTGTGAATTTTATGGGTTCATTAGACCTCTAGTCCTTCTACAGAAGACTGGACTCTATGACTTCTCACAAACAACTCAGCACGTTGCTCTGAAGCAATAAATGGACAAATCGTAGGAATCTATAGGTGAAATTCTGCTATCTGCAGGACCCCAGATCAGACTTTAACAGTTCCATTTTGAATGAGACTTCACAAAACTGTGCTAAATCCACAAGTTTTCTGAATTAAATACTTAGGGTTTTTGAAAGTCAGAATCTGTTTTTTATTTAATTCTCTATTAATTCTTCTTCAGCTTCTTATCTGAAGGTTTTTGAGAAAGAAAATGCTTTTTACTGCCTGCTCCCTCAAAAATGATCTTGGAAAAGCCCTTTAGGGTTCTTTGTAGAATATTAGAAGTCTTAAGAAGAAAATGTTAGTACACATTACACATTTCAGATGTGCAGAAGTAACATAGAGGCAACTTTTGTATTTGATCCAGTGAAAAATTAATGTGGATTTAAAACCAATTGCATTAGAAGGGTTGTAATGGAAATTAATGCCACCTCAGTCAGTGTTCTGTGGTTAAATGTAGTACCAGTCAAGCCCTTGTGTGGCTAAAACCCACGCTGTAGCCAGAGGGATTTCCATTTCTTACACGTAATTAATGGTTACTGAGATAGATGCCTATTCCATACAGATAATTTAAAACACCTAGACATATTAAATGGATTAAGAAATACTCTAGGCTGCATAAACACTCATCCACCTATCTATTCCATCTCTATTTCATTGTATACCTCATCACTTTCCTCAATAAGAACCTTTACTGCTAAATCTGCGTTAGGACTTGTTTGGATTGGCTGTCTGAACTGACAACCCTTGATTTTACTACTTTTTAGCTACTTGTTTTTACTTTCTTTTTCTGAAGTCATCATTAACAAAGCACCTCTTTGAACAAGTGTTCCTTTCGGCTTGTTTGCCATAAGAATGTGTGAACTATTGATAAACATATTTAGGAGCCAAACTCCTTTCCTTTAAAGTCCTCATTTTGTCCCTTATTAACAGACTCAGGTCTGTATGTCTTTACCTGCAGCTGGAACCTACATGAACATGAATAGGGGCAACATATGTCAGCTGCATCTAGCCAGTTTAACACTATTGCAAGTGTTTGTGTGTCTGCCCTAAGGGTCTAACAAACCAGCTCAAGAGATAAGACTTTTCCCTCCTGTATTCACATTTTACGGTAGCACTTAGGTTCTCATCCTAGCATCTTGCTTATTCTTAGAGGACATAGGTTATATAAGATACATTATTACATAGATTATTGACCATCTCTGGAGTTTAAGAGAATTTTCCATAGCTGTTAATGCTAAGCATTGGCAACTTGATTGAATAATCAAAGCTCTAGAAAGGGGAAGAAATTCTAATTAAAAAAAATAGTTCAATTTGTTTCTTTACTATTTTCTTAAAAGCTGGTTATTTTTTCTTGGAAAAAAACCCAAAACAAAAAAGCTTGGTATTTAATCAAAGAGCATTCTGAAAGTTTGTAATTGGAGTATCATACCTTTAGCTAAGGTTCTTTTATGTGAATCTTTGTGGCATGTGAGATCTTGAAAAAGCTAACAAAGTAAAAGTAAGGTCTGATACAGATCTTTGCGTATGTAAGAATTTGTATATGTCTTCTAGGTGGATTTGGAGCAGATGTTGTTCATTAAATTTATTACCTACCATAAATGATTTACTGTGAGCTAGTAATTTCAGGGACCCCCAGGTGTGCACTGCTACAAAAATCATGCACTGGTCAGAACTTGTTAGTCGTGGTACCCTCCTACATATTACAGCCTATCCAGTCCCATCCAGGTTTTATAATTTTTTTTTAATGTACAGTTCTGTGCAAAAGCACGCTACATGCTTTGGACACAATGTCCTAACAGCTGTGTATGAAATCATAATTAATTCTTATGCCGCATTAGCCTGTATATCAGGGTGTTTCTATATAAGACTTCTTAACTGTGCACACAGTACAAGCCATCTTTCTTGCCCATGCACATTTCTATATGTAGTTCTCTGGTTCTATATGTTGGTGCAGTTGTTTTATAGTGAATTTACTGAGAATCAGAAACTCTCGAAGCTCCCTAGCAGATTTGACTTGCCATTCCCCTTTCAGTTATTGAATTCCCATGTATTTTTACACTCACAGTTTTGAAAGGAAGGTGTACAATTCTGTGCGGATTAGAGCTTCTGCTTTTATGAAAATATGATTCCTCAGTATGACTAGTTGTTAAAATTTCTGAATTCTGAAAGGGATGTTATTAGACATGCTTCTCAATGTCATATTGCAAATCTCTGATAACTAACTAAATTCTTAATTTTCTGCTCAAACAAAACTTTAAAGGGAGATCTGGGAAGACTGAAATAAATGGCCATTTTTCTATGGCATCAGGCAGGCTCTGTAAATATTTCTAACCTACTGGAAGAAGGAAGAGGGAGAGATTTTTCTCTTTACAAGCATTGCATAAAATGACTCTCAACAAGAACATGTGAGGGAGAAAGGAGTTTCAATTCTGTAGTCATCTAATAGACCTGTCATAGCACAAAGTAAACACCAGGCTTCACTGGGGAAATATAGAATAGCCAGATAGAAATGAGGTTGAAACCAACCTTTTTTGTTGCACTAGGAACGCTGAGCTTAGTGCAGGACAAAGTGAATATTTTACTGGAAATACACAATGCTGAAAGTGATATATTCTCTGTAAGAGTGGCGTGGATCTTAATTTTTCCCCAGTTGTTTAACAATTATATCAAAGCCTCAGATCCAGGACACCCTATTACTTATTCTTTGTAAAACAGACCTGAAGTTGCATTTACTTTTCAGCTGGAGATTTAACAAAATGAAGATTCAGTAACACTTCGTGAGTTTATCTGTAAACACAGTGTGAGATACTAGAACAGTAACTCACAATAGAGTTGCAATTACCTTTTCAGAGCCACATTGCAGTCAATTTACATACACAAAACACCCCAAGCCAAAGAATCAGAAGCCTTTCACAATGTGCTTTGCATCAGTTTAGTGTGATTTAATACATTCTTTTCCACAATGATCATTTGATTAATCTACCTCTGAGGGCTCAGTAGTCACAGAAACTAAATGTTGTTCTTATGTAGGGGAATTACTTCAAACTAATGAAATGCTTTACCTGTCATGTTCTCACTTTTTTAAGTCTCGAAAATATTTTTAATGAGGAAGATTTACTTAAAAATTTCTCTCTGTCATATAATGGCTATTCCAGAATATCCAGAAATATTCTTTGGAGAGCAGTCATTGCTGAGAGCACTATAAAACAGGAGTCCTATATGTTGGTTCAGATCCTCTAACGACAGATGTAGACAAAGCTCCATTGGTTACACCAGTTTATGCCAGCAAACTGTAATTTTGCTTTGGACAGAATGATTATAGACTTAGAATCAGAAGAAAGATACACTCAGGGAATAAGGTTTCAGCACAAAGCTTCTAGCTTCAAGTCAGCCGTTCAAGCCTGATATTTGCCTTTTTTATAATTCTGTAATATCCTCTTTGTTTTGTTTTTTTTTTTTTTTTTTTTTAAATGAGGGTAGCATCTATTTTCTGGAACAGAAGGTTTGAGGTGCTGAGAGTGCACATTTAAAAAGTGTCTATGGAATTTGGGATAATAAATCTTAGAGGAATTCATGAAGGCTTCTGCAACTAACACCTTGTCTACTTCGGACTTCCTTCCTCTTCTTTATCTGCTTGACCACCTAGAAAAAAACTTGAGAGGTTTGCAATCTGTAGGAGTGTATAAATAATTCAAAGTGAGTGGTAAGCAGAAGAAAATAAGTGGACTTTACTCATGTTAGTGTCTAAATGGTGATCGATTTTTGAATCTGGGATAGTTTTTCTTATTTGCTTCATAATGTTTTATAATGCCAAATAGCAACAACTTTGTAAAGTGAGACTTTCTTTACTGACCTAGCGTCCCAGTGTAAAGAATAGAGCAAATGATGTAGTTTTTATGGTATTCCTCATAATTTGAGTTACTCTATACTAAGAATAGATGGAGTTGCAGAGTCATATTCTATATGTCCTGTTTTATTTTAGACTTTGCCTTGCGTGGCTTTGTCTAATTTCAGTTTTTGGTAACTATTAGCTAGTGTCTCAAATCCATGGAAGTGGTTGCTGCAGGTTAGGACCAGAGTCTTTTGGTCTAAAAATTATTTTCATCTTGTCCATTTCTTATCTCTGCTGAATAGCGCAGGATAAGTTAGCTCAGGTGTGGGTTTGAGACTAAAGGTGCATGGCAATCAACAGTATTACATAATCAAAGTGCTCAATATACACAAAGGCTTCGACTAGAAGTCAAACACTGTGGCAGCACTTAACTTTGTGTCAATAGAAGAACACAATGTATTTGCTATGTTTTATTTTGAATTTTTTTTTTTTTTCCTCCGATGGATTGCTTCTACTTCATATGTCTATTGTAATGCACCACTGTTGCTGTCACTTAGGGATTATGAAAAGCTCTCTTTTTTTTGCAGATCACCCGGTGAATGAATTTTTGGATCTGTTCAGTCGCCACATGCTTCCACATGCAATAGATGAACCCCACATTGATGCAGAATCAGCTCAGACTGAACCCTGTACTTCAGACTCTGTGCAGGATTCGTCTGAATATATAATATTGGATCCTTTCTTTCCAAACTTTATAGACTTTGAAGAAGAGGAAGACTGTGAAAATACTACTGATGTTACAACTCCTCCAGCTTTGCAGTTCATCAATGGAAAGCAACAAGTTACGAGTGCACCTAAGAGCACAAAAGCTGAGGAAGCGAGAAGTGACCAAATAGAAAGCGTTGCACACTCCAAAAATGTAACCTTTTCTCAAATCAATGAAACAAATACATTTATAATATCTGAAACTGAAGCCTCTGGCACTATGCAACCAAACAAAGCTGGAGAAGTAATAGGGGCATTTGAAGTTACACAACCAACAGCAGATGTTGCAATGTTAGAACCTGTTTATAGTGGCGAGTCAGAAGTTGCCACAACAGAGAAATCAATAGCTGTTACTTCTTCATATGAGCAGTCTCTGCAAAATAATAAAGATACCATAACATGGCATGGAACCGAGGAGAGCTCTACTAAAGATACAAAAAACTCACTTTTGATTATTAGTGAAACTTCTGGAGATGGCTCCACTGAGTCTGATTTATCCAGTTCTATCTTCTCAGAAATTGTGACAATGTCAAGAAAGGATGATGAAAAAAATTCTGGTATAACTTCTGCTCCTGATGCATTTACTGCAGAAAGTTCTGCTGTAACTGCTTCTCCGGATGCAGTTTTTAATCCTGCTTCAGTAGGCATAAGTGTGAAAGACTTTATTCCGGAAGAGCCAACACCTACTCAAGAAGATAATTATAGAACAACTATTAAACTTAACGTAAATTCCCTTGTTGAAAACCTTCTGGAAACAAGTAGTCATACAGCAAAGCCTGAGATGACTTTCATAGTTCTAGAAGGCTCTGGAGATGTAGAAGAGGACATCACTATAACTTCAGTCATAACAACAGAAACAGCAGTGACAGAAACCCTTTCAATGCAAGATACTTCTTTGGGCTCTGGCACAGTATTGCCAACAGAAACTTCTGCAACTGTTTCAGGAATCACCTCTGCTTTGCCCAGAGGAATAAGCACTCTTTTTTCTGCTTTTGATCGAAGTTCTGAAGTAACTGTTGCCACCATTTCTGCATCTGAGTTTATTACGGAAAAAGTAGTTGCCAGCTCTCTTGTAACTGAAAAGAATATTGAAGATGAAAAAGAAACACAGACCACTGTTTATTCAGGTCATGAAAATTCAGCTACTGTTGCAGAGAGAAATGTGGAGTTGAATGAACTTGGGAGCACTACTAGTGAAGTCAGAACTGTAAGTCAAGAGCCTACCCTGCTCAGAAGAACAGTACTGGTAACAGGTACCATAAGTTCTGAAATCAAAAGGGTCACTACTGTTCCTCTCTTGAAAGAAAAGAAGCTTTTTATAAATGAAGGATCAGCAGAAGAACCAGCAGACATATTTTCAGGGGGTCCCACAAGAAAAGTGGTAAGTACTGACTCCCCATTTATTGATCCAGGTTCTGGAGACATAGATGTTATCATTGAGTCTGCTACTTTGACTTCAGTTCCATTAAGGCCTGTCACTGAAACACAAACAGAAAAGCATGAAGGAAAAATTTACAGCATAGATGGTGCTTCACTGAAGAATTCAACAGAATATGAAGAGCCTGCAAGCACAGATGAATCAACAATATCAGTTTCAAGTACTGGGTCAGATGGCTTGACAAAGGAGTCTGGAGTAACAAGTCAGATGTTCCAGGATGTGTTCAGTACAGGAAGCCCAGGAGAACAAAACCAGGAAACAGAACCAACTTACACAGCTTCTTCTGAAGTAAAATCTAGTCCTGGTTCTAGAAAAGAAATACTATCTCGTGTTGCATCAGGAGTTAAAACTGAAGATTTAGGAACAGGTGAGGTCACATCATCTCCAGAATCTGTGGTTAGTAACAGCCCTCACATCATGGTGACACATGGTACTGGCAGTATAAAAGCAGTAGCTGAATCTACAGAAAGCAAAAACGCAAAAATTAGTTCTCCGACTGTCTCATTAGGCAAGATTCTCTTGATTGAGCATGGTTCTGGAGAAGAATTCAAAGGGGACAGCAGCACCACAAAACTAATGTCTAATGGACCTACTGAAGAAATACTTGGAAGTACTTTCTCATTTATTGATCAGAGATCTGGAGAAGCAGACACGTTCATTGAATCGTTTGCAAAAACAGCAGTTTCACCCACTGGGAGACCAGAAACACAAGAGAAGTATAACAAAAAAGTTGTCAGCACATCATCTATGGATCATGCCTTCACTACTGAACCTGTTGAGCTAGTCCTGAGTACTGAACATGAAGTAACTTCAGTGGGAACTGTAACTGACATAAGCACGGAAGACAAAACAATTGATGAACTGGCAGTGAGAGCCTTTTCTAAGAAGATTCCTTTGGTAGAAGATATACATTCTGGGGAAGAAAGGACAAGGGAAATTTCACCAAAAGCTACAGAATCTTCTGAAGAATCAACAGACCCATCCTTTAAAATTACACAGGCTAACCATGAACATCTGGCATTTTTAAATGTTCTGACTGTCAATCCATATTCAGAAGAGAAGGAACTAGAAACTGGATCTGTTAAAAAAATACTTTTGCCATTTAATGATGTAACTGAGCCTGTAAAGACTGAAAGGAGTTACATAAGCTCTCCAGTTACAGTTATAGAGCAAGAGGAGGACTTGGTAC